TTAATTGGTTGAAAATTTATTCCAGAGACATTAAGGTAAAGATATATGCATGTCTATGATCTTTTTGAACTTTAAGATATATGACTGTCTATAGAACTTTGCTACTATACCTCACCACAAATGTACACCCAAGCAGAAGCACAAGTATACACTGAGGTCTTGCAAACCTCTCTCAGTTTTCCCCAATACTTTTACATATGCATGTCTTCCAACAGCTCTCCTCACTTGCCCAGCAGCAAATATTTAATCATCATTTAAAACCATCATTATGTGAGGATTTCTCAGAGCATCAGGAAAACTTCTTCCAAAGTTGACACCTTCCTCTGTACCATTTCATTATTTAGATATGTATTTTTATTACATCGATATAAACATCCACCAACATATCACTCATTGTTTCTGTTTATACTGCAAATTTTGTGGGGATAGAAACATTTGTCTTTCTACTTTATTAAGTAGCAGAATGTTTGACATGCACAGACCATCAGTAAATATTTGCTGAACTAAAGAACAATTTTTTCTATCATAACTTGTTAAATTTTGTAGAAACATACATACAAATATATGTTGAAATTATCCTGTAATTATATGTGAATATATATTTGAATATTTTAAAAGAATTATATTCCCATATTCCCTGGTGCATTGCAATGACCAGACGGAGATGCTGGAGAAGTGTTTGTTCAATGTATGAAGAGCAGACTAATTAGGAGATGCTGAACAGACTTAGGTCTCTGGTACTTTCTTCTCTATTAGGAGCTGATTTTGGGTTGTCTTAAATGAAAAAAATGTGAAAAATTCTAAAAAAAAAAAAACCTTTAGCTTTGCAGCTGAATGAGTCTTAGCCCATGGAGTGTGACAAATTAGAGAATCAAGGAGAAGCAAAAGACTTGCTGTCAAAATATTTATGTTTGTTTTCTGCTTTCAGGAAGAATTCTTTCTAATTTTGAAACATGAATTTTGGGATAGATCATAGAAAAGTAATTAGGTCCTTATCTCAGAAAAAAAATGGATTTATCAAATATTTTGCAGAAGTTTAAGCACCAAAGGGATCCTTTCTCTGTTAAAACAATATGAATCCCATAACTTGCTTTTGTCCTAACTTCATAATATAAGAATTTTTTTTAACAGAGTTATAGTGTTTATGGTTTTTAGAGGGCAGCTTGGAAGTGTGGGTTCTGGACAATAATTCTTTTTTTTTTTTTTTGTTTTTCAGTCTGTGTTTTCTTATTTATTTATTTATCTATCTATTTTTTTTTCTTATTTTACATATCGATCCCAGTTTCCTCTCCCTCTTTCCCTCCCTCCGATGCCCCCTGACCACCCTCCCATCCCATCCTCCTCCCACTCCACTGGGAGGGTGATGCCTTCCAGGAGGGTTCAACAAAATCTGTCAAGTCATTTGGAGTAGGGACTAGGCTCTTTCTCCTGCCTCTAGGTTAAGGGAGTATCCCTCCATGGGAAATGTACTCCCAAAGCTGGACATTAATTCTTATAGAAAATTACATACACATGATTAAAAAAAACAATAATGTTTTCAAAATGTGATGAGGTTTGAAGCTCAAAAATACACGGTGTATTTCATCACATCTCTCAACTCCTCCCAGATATGACCCATTTACTTTTCCACCTTTAAAAAGAAAACCAAAAGTCATCAAATCCAATGTGTGCTGTCTATGTGCTCTTAGATGTATAGCTGTATATCTAAGTGTGGCTAGATGTACACAGTGTGATTGACCTAGCAGGGCCCACACCCAAGTCTTGATATTTTGAACTTGTTATGAAGGTATAACATCTTTAAGGAGATCCAGTGTGTATTGTATACATTATTCCCTACTAGTGAGAGGTACCAAAATACATATTCACATAGGAATCTTGAAAAATGACAGGAATAAAGAAACTAACAGATAATTATAAAGCTTTGGCAACTTTAAAAATAAGCAATTTCAAATGAAGACCTTGATTTTATGTTTTCTCTCCACATACAAATACCTTTTGGATTCATGGAAACAATTCAATTCATAAATATATAATCACAACAGTGGTAGAACTTTGTTTGACATAGTTCTCTTACTTGTGTGTCTTACAGGATCCACTCAGAAAGTTGAGACTATCAAATGAATCAGTGTGGAAAACAATGCAAAAATGGTGACAGACTATAATTTTTTGCAGGTATAATTACAATACTTTTAATATTGTCTAAAGGGATTTAAAAATAACACTATAAGAATTTTTGAGTCACCATTTTATACATATGATCAAATTTAATCAATTTTTCCCACATAAGGAAATTACTATTTGTAAATTATAGAGCTCATTAAAAGTCATGGGCCAGGTAAGAGACTCACAAATCAGACTATGAAATCAGACCTAGTTCATTACATTTTTTTTCTACTCTGGGAACTTTCCATATTTTTTTTTCTGTCCTTAACAATCTGGTTCTTTATTTTCATGGGAAGTCAATTTCAGTTGTCATTTAGATAGACATCCAAGTAATTATATATGAAAATTAACTGATAATGACTAGAAAAATATTTTAAAACATTGTATAGGTACATATAAAAAGTAATGTCATTTAAAATTTTTCTCTATGAGAAAATCCAACCTGAAAATTTAGCATGTGAATATTGAAGAATTAATACAGGTTTAAAAATATCAGTGGCTGAATATGTTAGTAAAGTGTGAGATGTTGATATCATTCCTAAGAAGGAGTATGTGATGACTCAGAAGAGGGCTGTTTCAAAAATCTGCTGGACCAGTGAACAGAGCTAGCAGAAATGCAAAGTAAGACGAAAATCAATTCTCCATGTTATTTGCAAGTGATTTCAGCTCAAAAATCTAAAGTAGGGAACATAGGACTTGCTATTTTTTCAAACCAAAGTGACCTTTGCCTTTGGGGTTAAAACCACAAAGGAATCTCCACATTTTGTTTACAGAAAAGAGTTGCCACATGGCAATTCCAAAGCTCCAGGGAGCTTACCTGTCTCCATTTTCCCATCCTGTGCCGCAGGGCCATCCGGGGATCACACTTTTCACCTGTAGGAACTCATCCGGCTCATCGCCACCAATGATGGTAAATCCAAAGCCCATGTTGCTCTTCTTGAGGGTGGTGCTGAGGAATATTCCCTTCAACTGGGACGCATCCCGGGTGAAGAGGCGGCTTTTCTACATTGGCCAATACAAGGTAAAAGGAAAAACATCATTAAGGCAAGCTTCAAAGAACAGCCAGCCACTGAGCAGCAATCCCTGGGAATGTGGGAGTCTGACATGGTAAATGCAAGCATGTGACCTCTTAGAAAGAGCCAGACAATTAGAGCATCCTACAAATACAGAGGCATCCCATGCATCCAGGGAGTAATGAAAGGTTGAATGGTTGGATAGCAACTTATCAGTATGTGCTTTCTTGAAATCAGTCCTCTTGAGGTTCAAATGGGCTATGCCAACTGGCAAGAAAGTCTTCAAATAACACCCGACTTACACAACTCTTTAGTTAGGAAAGCTCCCAGGGTGGAGGGGTGTGTGAGTAGCTGCTTCTTCACAGAACCTTGATTGCATGAGGTAGAAAACCAGACAAACTGGTAAAGGACATTAAACATGTGCAGATCACCCCAATAGAGAAGCAATACATCTTGGGTATATACTAAAGGTCGAAGCTGCTTTTAGAGTGTGTACCTGGGTGTGGAACTGAGTTAAATTTTGTTTACACTTCAAGCAGATACATCTCTCCTGGCCAGAGAGTGTTTAGTACATTCTAAAAGTGAGCAAACAGCAAGCCAATATTTCTAAATATAGTTATGAATGTAAAGGTGATACATTTTGTAATATGTTGACATATTCAAATCATATACACAAATAATCTGAATAGTATTTGAATCCACTCAATGAGTTTGGCCACTCATATTTTTCAACTATGAATTCTAATAAATATGCTTCCAAGTACATTTAATGCTTTGAAATTATAGTCAAACTAGGAAACAGAATTAATTATCTCTTAAATTTCATCCGTGAGAAGTATTTTACTTTGCCTGGCTAGCTCAGTTCCTAGACCATGAAGCTCCAAGTATTTTATTCTAATTACTTTGTTGAGATGTGTCTTGCTCTGTATTCCAGGGGAATGTAGACTTTTAGTCCTCCTGCCTCAGCCTCCCATGTGCTAGAATAATATGTACCACCACATTTAGCTTTTCATACAAACATCTCGTATCCTTCTGGAAGGTGGTATGATCTGATACTCAAAGTAGCCAAACTATAAGTGAGAACTCAGCTACATATCTGAGTGATACTCTTACTGTTACATTTTCAGTTTCATAGAGTAAGCTGTTAAACTATGAGTCATTTTGATGGAGTTTACTCTATCTGTAGATTCGCTTGAAACCTTTACATTCATTGTAGAGTGTTGCAGGCATGTGATATGAACTTTACTACCAAGCAGATGTCAGCTGTGCACACACAAAGTCCCTGTTTTTTTTTTTTTTTTTTTGTAGAAGTGCAAAGCAGGTGAAAAGTGTGCAACTACTCATCCTGCTAGGTGGTTCCAGATACAGTCAGGTCTGTAAGCATCCCTGGGACATACCGAGTGGCCAGGGTCTCCCTCTGTGGCCTGGCACATAGTAAGACAAGTCATTCACACTTCGGGACCTCTCCGGACCAGTACTGGGGAAGATGGGCTTGGGCCTAGGTAATGTCACTGATGAGCGGCCTACTGTCACAAAGGAAAACAAGCCTCATTCCCATGCTTGATTTTACAGAGACTCTGCTGTTTATTATCACACTCCCAATGTCCTACCAGGCAACAAGTAAAATTCCTACAAGGCACTGCCCAGTGGCCTTAGCATAGTTTGTGGAAGCTAAATGCACTAGTTTAAAAAAATGTGAACACCTAGATAAAGCTGCTGGAAGGGTCTAGAGAAGTCAAACTCGATATTTTCATCAGGCCCTCCTACAGATGTGTCTATCCAGCAACGTTTCCTTACATTCCTGCATGCTGCCAGATACCATACCTCGGAAACCTGGGGCCTGCAGGGGCTTTGTTCCAAGTTCTGTGTGGGGCATGTTATGCTGTTGTAGCTTCCTTTTTGCTTCCAGGACAGGGTTTTCAAACTGTGTTCTTCTATTTATGTGGCTGAAAAAAAGAAGATTTTAAATTAGGTTAACAGTGGGGCAAAGTCATTTAGGAGAACATATTCATGGCCCTATGGAGAGCAGGTGATTAAGGGATACCTTATCTGATTATAGGCAAACATCTTACCACCATGCACAGGCGTCTGAGGGGGCTGGCCTGTGCGCAATGCCAATTATGTGACAGTTCAGAGCATTCAATGACTCTCACCAAATGCTGTTATATTTACCATATGCATGAGATAGCCAAAGGGACCAGACAGTGTGTACTTTCCAGCCTACTGTGCTCTTGTGAGGAATCTGATGCATTAAAAGAAATGGTCAACAAATGAAACAACAGAGTATCTCCAAAAAAGTGTGTCATCTAAGCTTTATAAAAATCTCAAGAGCAACAGGATAAGTGAGAGGTGAATTCACTAACAATGCAGCAGAAACTAACAGTAAGAATAATTCATGCATTTAGTGTGTGTCTGTATCTCTCTCTGTGTGTATTTGTGTGTATATGCGTGTGTGCATTAGTGTGTGTGTGTGCATGTGTATGTTTGCATGTGTGTGCGCATGCGTGTGTGTGTGTGTGTGTGTGTGTGTTTGTGTGTAGAAGATGAATGCACATGTACATACACAAGAGAACAACTTGCAGGTGTGGGGGTTGGTTCTCCCCTTCCATTATACAGGTTCCGGGGATCACACACATGTAATAAGTTTTGTGGGTAAGTGCCTTTTCCTGTTGAACTATCTCACTGACCCACAGCACACACCATTAGCAGTTTGACCTGGATTGAAAGGCCAGGATTCAGGAGGAAACTTCTCAGAAGTTACAGAATACCTATGTAGAATGTTCACTGCTGAAATCTTCTACACTGTGAGATGACAAACTAGTAGACAGACCTGCAGTGATGGGAGGCAACTGTAGCCCAGCCAAGCCAGGACTATATAAAAGGTTGCTTGCATCTTAGAGATCTGGCAGCAGCTTTGGGTAATAGTGGTGGCCATGCCATTCCATCTCCATTTCCAGGACATAGATGCCTTGGGAGAGGGCTGGCATATACAGATATCTCAATTCTTAAGTGCTCTGAAAGCATGAAGGTGAGAAGGATCATAAGAAAGGCTGACAGTTAACTGCATGTGGTTACCATAGATAATGACTTAGGTACACAGACAGGTCAAGTGGCTTATTTGAGATAGATCACATGCCCAGTACAGTGAAATTCTGTAATTTAGTCATTATGTCTATTTCTGCAGTGAGTCTCTTATCTACATGCTTTCTCTTTCCAATATGTGGTTTCAGTATATATAGTTAACATGCCTAAACATGCACACTTTCTTTTTCTCCCCCCCCCCCATCTATTGTACTTTCTAAAATACACATCAGAAAAGAGAGGGGATAAAATAGAACCTCACCACTTTCCTATTACAAGTCAGATAGCTGGCGAGGCAGAAAGGTAATTGGCAAAAAGGATGACTGCATTGTCTCTAATGATTTCTTTGAGGGAAGCATGGCAGACACTCTCTGCCACACATTCTTAGCATCAATCAGACCTGCGTTCAAATTCCAGCTCCTGAGTAGCTGAGTAACCTTTGGTAACTTGTTAAACCCGAGTCTTGCTAAACTATTCTCTAGAATAGGCACAATATTGTCTGCTTGAGTGGTTAAAAGGGTTAAATGTAATAGCCCATATTAGTACATCATCTTTTAGCACTGACATGTTTAATTACTAGCAGCTATTATTATCACTCATATCACCTTAACTACCCCATCAGTATTTTAGTCACCTCCATCACTGCCATCATGAATGTCCTTGTGGGGGACCTTAAAAACCACTGGAGTCTTGCTCCTATGCACTCATTCTAATTTAAAGGAAAAGGCATGATTCTAATAACATTCTTTCTTAGTGATTCTTTCTCTCTACTCCATGGGGTTCAAAACAACTTTTTGGAAAACTTCTTTTCCATTGGAAATAATGCTCTGTGTATGAAGGAGCCATAGCATAGCAGCTTCAAAGCCTTTCTACTCTGTAAATACAGAGTCAGGCTGGCGTAGGAGGATCTTTCTCCTTTCCATCCTCTGCTACCATTTTTAGCAAAATCCTTTAAGTTTTCCTTTACATGACATTGTAGCTTTGTCTTTGACTCTTTTACCATGAGTGCTTTTGCTTTTGCCCACTTGGGGCAAGTCTAATAGGCAAATACCTCTTTCAAAGTCATTTTTCTAAAGGAAATTCAATACATCCATAGTGTGATGCTTGATCAAACCTTCTATGTTGCATCAGGGGACAACTTCTAAACTTTCTTTAATCATATGTATCTTTCCTACTGATTGAACCTTGAATGCCCTGAAGGCTTGTGTGTAAAAAGCTTGGATGGTCCTAAGCTTGGTACTATTAGGAAGTGGTAGAATAAGAAAGAGGGAATGAGAGGTCCTAGGACATTGGGGGAATTCCCTACAAGGAATTGGTTTCCCTCTCTTAATTCCTGGCCATAGGGAGAAATGGCCTCCTCTGCATCTCTCATTATGATATACCATGTCATTACAGGCTTGGAATAATAGGGACAGTTGGTCAGAGAAGCTAATTCTGAAACTCAGAAGAAATAAACCTTTCTCTTGTAAAGCTTAGACATTTTGTTGTAAATTGGCAAGCTGATTCAACACTACCATTACTATACAGTGGGAACATTAACATCTCCTTCATGGGGTGCTGTGAAGATAAGAGGGGTGTTGGCCAAGAGCAGACAGATGGGAAGAACAACTGTGAAGTGCTGTCTTATGTTTTTGGAATAGTTATTACTTACTACAATTACTATTAATGATGTTGTTGTCGAAGGCATTATAATGCCATTCCTATGTCCCCAGCCCCATCCTAAGCCTATCACAGAGGCATTTCTAGCCAGCATTATACATCTTCCTGGGGACATTTTATATTGCATTTGTTTAACTCTGTCAAGCTATGTTATTTTGCCTGTCTAAAACATCTGATTGATCTAGCAAACAAATGAACGGCCAATAGCTAGGCAGGAGAGAGAAACTGGTGGAGCTGGCAGACAGAGAGAGTAAATACAAGATGAGAAAAAGAACTGTAGTGAGAAAAGGAGAAGAGGAGGAGGGATACCAGGGGACAGCCACAGCCACACAACCATCCACAGAATCAGAAGAGAAGAAATATAGAATTAAACAAACAAAACCAACAACAAACCCTCCCCCAAAGAACCCCAAAACAAAACAAAACAACAACAAAACAAAAAACAAAACAAACAAACAAACAAAAAACAAAACAAAAGGCAAAAGCCCAAAGGCAAGAGGCTAATGTAGTTAAAGAGAAATGGGTTAATTTAAGTTAGGAAAGCTGGCTAGAAATAAGCCATTCTAAGGTCAGACATTCATAAGTAAGACTAAGTATCCATATATTTATTTGGCAGATGGGTGACAAGTCCCCAAAAGAGTGAAATAAACAAACTAAGAAGTCAAAACAAAACAAAAAAGCAATGACAATTTGTTAAACAACAACATGATGAGGATATTAACTGTTTTCCAAAATATGCCAGAGAATATTCAGCCCTACAGAAAATACTGGAAGGAAAACTTCAACCCAAGAAAGATAGCTACACTCACAAAAACATAGGCAATAGATAATCCCATATTACCCAAAGTCAAAAAGGCCTGGGGTGGGGGAGTAAAAAACGCACACAGTACCACCACCACCAAATAAAAAAAACTAATAAGAATAAACAATCAATGGTCAATAATATTCCTTAAGATCATTGATCTTAATTTTATTATAAGAAGATACAAGCTAACAGAATGGATACAAAGACAGAATTTATCCTTCTGCTACATACAAGAAACACATCTCAACTTAAAAGACAAATGGGCCTAAGAAACAAGCTGGTGTAGCTATCTTAAAATCTAACAAATTAGACTTCAAATTAAAATTAATCAAGAGATGAAGAAGATCATTTCATATTCATCACATGAAAAGGTAAAGTCTCAGTTCTGGACATCTATGCCCCAAATACAAAGGCACCGACATTCGTAAAAGAAACATTGATAAAACTCAAATCACACATAAAATCTCACACACTTACAGTGGGAGACTTCAACACCCCACTCACCACTAGACAGGACCACCAGACAGAAGCTTAACAAAGAAAGAAAGGAATTAACAGAAGTGACCATTCAGTTGGGTTTAAGAGACAGCTATAGAACATTCCATCCAGACACAAAAGAACATACCTTCTTCTCAGCACCACATAGAACCTCCTCTAAAATCGATCACATACTTGGCAACTAAGCAAACCTCAACAGATACAAAAAAATGGAATAACCCCCCGTATCTTATTGGACCATCATGCTTTAAAGTTAGAATTCAGCAACAACACAGATTGCAGAAACCCTATAAACTCATGGAAACTGAACAATGAGCAATTGCATCACTCCTGGGTCAAGGAAGATTAAAAAAAAGAAAAAAAGAAAGAAAAAAGAAATTAAAGACTTCCTATAATTCAATGAAAGTGAAAGCACAACATACCCAAACTTATGGGACACTTTGAAAGCAGTGCTAGGAGGAAAGTTCATAGCAGTCAGTGCCCACATGAAGAAACTGGAGAAGACAATCTTGAAATCAACTGAAGTACTGACTTTTTATACCCTATCTGATCTGTTCTATTTCTGTTTTCCTAGGTTACGTTCATCACACATGTCTAATTTTACCCTTATTAGAATTATTTTGACTTTAACGAACATCACAGTGGGGGGTGAGGTCTGGAAGCTCTAGGGAGACAGTCACTCTTTTGACTGTGGCTTCTCTGAAGTTCTGTCTCTTTGAGGACCTCTGTATGTACCTAGAAAGTGTGAATTTCCTGGAATCATAGAATTCCCATGGCTTTCTCTGGTTCCTCTTTTGAGTCCCCTACTTCTGTGTTGTTACTTCTTTCCACTCAAGTACCAAGATTCAACTTTACTGATAGCAAACACATACAATGCACCTCTTTGTCTACACATTTTTAATT